ATTTTATTCTTTTCTTTTATTGTATTGATTGAACTTACTCTCTTCCTTTTTTTTTTCGCTGGCAACGTTTCATCCTGTGTGGACACTCGAATCGCAAACAATGACAATAACGTTTGTTTGATCATTGTGCTTCCGAACACTATAACGCCCTTGTGTCGGTCGCTGAAAGAGAGAGAGAGTGTACATAAATCTTTCGTTCTCTCTCTCTCTCTCTCTCTCTCTTTTCTTTTTTTGTATATAACATTTTTTATTCCTGTCATTATTTCTTTTTTCAAAACAGTATTAAACTGCGAGTCAAAAAAGAAAATCCAATATTGATTGAAGTTATCTTAATAATGGCGTTGAATTATGGAACATTAATACGTGCTGCTAGTAAATTACCTGAACAACGAACAACAACGGAAATTAATGATTTTATAGTTCCATGGCTTAAACAATCATTAAAAAAGAAACAAGGAATATTTCAAAAAATTTCTGATGGTAAAATTCAATGAAGTTTTTGTGCTTTTTTTTTAAATTCTATTTCTCTTATAATTTTATTTTAAGATGTTATTTATGATATTTGTAAGACAATTATGTTAGAACGACGTCCAGCATGGGATGTTGTTATTCGTCAAAATGATCCAGGCGATACGTAAGTTTATTGAAAATTGAAAATGTTCTTTTTTTTTACTTTGGTTTTTTTAATACTAGATTCTATATTATATTACAAGGTTCAGTTAATATCTATCGTCTTGATGATGATAATCCTCAATCAATACTTATGGATATTGATACAGTTACTGAATTTCCTCAACTTGATGATGATCTCGACAAACGTGAAGAACTTATTGCACAGGCTTTCGGCAATTATATTGTTACTTTAGGTAAAAATAAGAAAAATTCATTTTTATATTTTTCAATTCTTATTATGATAAAATTTTGAAAGTTGAGTTTTCTTCAATTTAATTTATTTAATAAGGTTTTTAAAAAGAGAAAAATTGAACTGTAAGAATATTTGCTGTTGTATTTGAGTTTATTTACTAGCAGTTAGAGCATTTTATTGTATGAATCAATGATTATCAAATATTTTATTTGTTTTTTAATCGTAAGTTCATTGAAACAGGTATTCAGTTTTAAATAGTATGGTTCTTTTATTATTGATAGTTAGAGTGATTGACAGATGTAGGTAGACAAACTTATTCTTATTTATAAATACATATAAGTACGTAAATCAAAATATAGTTGACTCTAAAATTAAAGAATCAACTGGCTTCTTTGTCATCTATTGTGAAAACTTAAAAGTCAACTAGGCGAATGATTACCACAAATTGTGGTTTCTATTTAATTTCATGGAGATTGTCATGAAACTATTGTAAGTTCTCGATAGTTAATATCAGTATCGATTTGAATAGATTAAATCAGATGAAACACTAGGTTTTTTTTTCTACATTGGAAAGATCGAAGACATGAAGAACAAGAAAACATCATCCCATTTTTACTATCTACTTAGACTACTATTATTGATAACATGTACCAGTTTGATTCTTCTAATGATAATTTTGTTGATAAAAATTGAAACTTTTTAGTTGGTGGTTTTGATTTTGGTGAACGAGCTCTTATTACAAATGAACCTCGAAGTGCAACTGTCATGACAACTATGCCAACAGATTTATTAGTTGTTGATCGTGAAGTTTTTAGTAGGTATGTAATGAATATATTTATTATAAATTCATTCTTATTATTAGTTTTTTTACAATAGAACACTTAAATCAGCACATGAAAAAGAATTACAAGAAAAAACTGAATTTATTAATCGATGTCCTTTATTTTCTTCATGGCCAGCAAGATTGAAACGTCTTGTCAGTCTTAGTTTAGAACGAGGTAGATTTGCATATGATACGGTGCTTTATAAACAAGGTACATTTGCTGATGCTGTCTATTTTATATGGAGGTAGAGTAAATTTCTTGGTCTTTTTTAAAAAATTTTTTTATTTAAAATTTTCATTGAATTAGTGGTGAAGTTAAATTAACTATAGATCCATTACTTCATTGGCTTCAATATCCACATCTTCTTCCACAATCAGATCCAATGAAACAGTAAATATAATTTCTGGTGTTGTTTTTTTTTTCATTTTTTTTTAAATAATATTTAGACGTGCTTTTGAATTATTTCTTCCAATGCTTCAATTATCCCGTCCAATGGATACTGTATCACGAGAAAGTTTTGCTATAAAACGACGTTATATGACATTTGCTGAAGCTGAAAAAGAACGTTCTTATCGTAATAGACAAGTCGCCTTATTAAATACAGGTGATATTGTTGGTCTTGAATCTTATGTATGTGATTTAACAACACATATGAATTCTGCAAGATGTACAGCTCCGTGTGATCTTTTTTATATCTTAAAACATAATTTTATTCGTTTACAAAAACGTCATGGTACACAAGGTCTTAGTGAACGTTTACGTGAAATTGTACTTCTTTCATTTCAAGCCTATCCATCACGTATACTACATTTACCATTATTTAAATCTTTAATGAAACGACAATTAGCACCAGTAATGAACGATGAACAACAACAATATCATGTTAAACAATCATGGCTTTTTCATATTCATAATGCAACTCATTCTGTTTGTTCCTTATATATATTTTTTCTTTATTTGAATTTACTATTGAATAAATTATTTAGAATACCCGTCGATTAGGTGCAACATTAGCACATACATCAACAACGAATAATACATCACCCACACGTTTATATCGTTCAACACCATTGGGAAGTGCAGCTGCAGTACAATATGTTACAAATGATCATGTTCGTCTTAGTAAAATAGAAGATCGTCTTAAACAATGGCATGCACAAATGGGTGATGATTCTAAAACACAAATACGTTCATTAACACGTTTTGTAAAAATTTAACTTAACAATAGAACTTCCTATTTTTCTTGTTTTGTTTTTTGTTGTAGAATGTTGCGTGCACAACAGGAAGTGCTCCAACACGTCCATCACCACCGGATACATTAGAATCACAATCCGATGCTACTGGTATTACATCAAGGTAAACACATTAGCTTTTGAAAACAAAATGTCTTGCGTCATTGTTGGAAGCATAAACTATTATGCTTTTTGTTGGTATGCTTAAAATAGACAATCTACATTTTAACCTTAATAAAAGGTTAAACTCTAACTTACCGTTTGAACTTATATTGAACCCACAAGGAAGTCTTGGCAAGACTAGTAAAAGCTTAAAAGGGTTCGTGCCCACAGGTCTCCCGAACCAAGTAATGTATGTTTTACTAAATTTTCGATCCAGTTTTACTTGAAATGCAATATTTCGACAAAAAAATATTCTTTTCAATTGAAACTTGCAGAATATTCTAAGGGTTATTAGACTTATCTATGGGATAGATTTAAAGTCAAAATTCCATTCGTTGATTTTTTAGTAACTACTTACAGCTGGGTCGAAAATTCAGTAAACCGGTCATAATTCGACTGTAGAGACCTATGAGCACCAACCCATCTAAACTTTTTCTAGTCTTACCAAGTCTTCTTTGTGGGCTCAATATAAGTTCAAACAATGAACTATGGTTGGGTTAATTTCCTTGTAGCTAAATATGAATACAATTGAATGATATTATCTATATAACAACTTTCCTCCAAATAGGTTTTCTTTATTTGATCTTCATATTTATTTTAACAATTGTATAAAATATATTATTTTTGAAATAGCACATTTAGTGATGGTAATGAACCAACTGTTTCTGTTGAAGCTCTTACGGAAGCAACTAGTAGCATGAACGAACCTCTATCAACGCATCCGATTGTAAGTTTCATGAGATTTGTTACATATTAAAATACACAAATATATTTAGAGTACATCTTCGTCTTCAACAACTCATTTACCTCAATTACGCATTTATACAAAACAAGAACGATATGAAGATCTTCGAGCTTATCTTAAACAAGCATGGAAAGAATTTCTCAAACGACCTATTCCAACTGTTTATTGACACACACTAGCTCCATAAATTATTCGAATATCAATAACTTTTAATATACAAAAGAAATTTCAATATAAAGAAAAAAAATAATCTAATGTCAAATTTATACCATTCGATGGTGTAAAGTCTGTTCAATCATCTATGAAAAAATTTGTCTTAAGACAAATATTTTAGTTTTTTTGATAGATGATAAAACAGACTTTAAGCTGTCGAATAGTATAATAAATTTGATAGAAGATTTTTTTAAATTTTGTTTATATGATAAAAGTTATAGATGTTTAAATGATTTTGAGTCAGTGTATATACTTATATTTTTTTTCTTTGTCTGCTCTTTTAAATAAAAGCATTAATATGATAGTTGCATTTGTGCAAAGTCGATTAGTACGAAAGAAATATGTCTCGTGATGAAACTAACAATGGTAAATGAAATAATTTCCATTTAGTCTTTTACAACACATTTCCATAACTTGAATTTATAGAAAAAACTGTTTTAAAGTAGTTTTGATTTTCATTTTATACATTACTAAACAGTGTATATTTTATATAGTAGAATAAACAGAATCATTGAACAAGTGCAAGATCTGTAAATCAATTAAATAGAATATCAATTGTAAGTGATACTGAAAAATTAACAGAATGACAGCATCGATTTTTTATTTACAAAATGTCTTGAAATAAAAGCTTTTGATATAACGGTGATGAAAAACCAAAAAAATGTTTCAATGAGAAATATGTGATGATTTTTAATAAGATTGTGTAATTATTCAGATCCAGATTAATGCCACTAAGATCAATTCCGTGATAACTACAAATGTGATTGAAATTGAATTGATTGTTTTTGTTTTGAAATTTATTTAAGATTAATAATTGTTTATAGATCAATTATCATCATTTATTATTCAACAAAAAAACACTTCATCAGAAAAAATGCGTGAATAATTTCTACTTGAATAAATGTGTATTTCATCAAACGTTTTTACAAACAATGTTATTTAAAATTTTCTCGAACATTTCATGGTTTTGAAGCTTTATCGATAGAAAATGAACTGCTCCCTTTCACTTGCGAACTATTATCAGGTGGATTTTCTTGAGAAACTTTGTTGTAAGATGAAGTATTTTCATCTACTGACACTGACAGTTGTGAAGCGTTGTCACTTTCATTTCCTTGACGTTTTAGTGAGATTGGTTGTGCAGTTTCGTTAATTCTATCCGCCTGGTATATTGATGCAGATGACCACAGACTATTGCTGGTTTTATTTCCTTGATCTACTGATAGGGTTGGTTGAATATCATCGCTAGTTCCAACTGTCTGTTGCACTGGTGTTGATGACGTTGGACTATAGTTGGTATCGATTTCTTGACCAACTAATGGGGTTGGTTGAATATCATTGTTAGTTTCACCTGTCTGTTGCACTGATGATGATGGCCGTAGACTATTGTTGGTATTAATTAGTTGACATATTACTAGTGAAGCTGATTGGGTATCATTGCTAGTTCCAACTGTCTGTTGCACTGATGATGACCATGGGCTATTGTTGGTATCAATTATTTGACATACTACTAGTGGAGCTGGTCGGATGTCATTGTTAGTTACAATTGTCTGTTGTACTGATGTTGATGACCATGGACTATTGTTAGTATCAGTTTCTTGACCAACCAACGGAGTTGTTTGGATATCATTATTAATGTCACCTGTCTGTTGCACTGATGTTGATAACCATAGACTATTGTTGGTATCAATTACTTGAACTCCAAGTGGGGTT